CTCCCTTGTTGTTTAAAGTACTAGTGGCATAGGTTTGTGTGATCTTGCTTCTAGAATTGGTTAGGTGAGCTCTAGCTAGCCCGGCACCTTTGTTGCTTAATTAGTATCTCTGGAAGGTGATAGAGAACATAGATAGAGGGGTGTAGTCTTGACTAGACCGATAGTTTTAATTCCGCACTTGTTTCGGTTAGCCGACGCGATTAATTTTAGAAAGGAGTATTCACCCCCCCTCTAGTCCGCCATCTCGACCCTACAGTAGGGCGGCTTAATCTAGTCCTAGTCTATTACTATTGGAGAGTCCTAGTCTTATCACAGAGACTACTTTCTCTAAATGTCTGACTAGGTTGGTTCTTTAATACTTGGAGATCACGCCACATTGTTCCGTGTATTCAAGCAAACCTCGGGCCGGCCCAGTGAAAGTCCCTACTTTGGTTTTGGATAATTGATGAAACCCTAAGTACTAATCTTTATCTTGAGTGTTGTGATATGAGCAAGGTTGGTACATACCAAGTGGTGGAGCCTAGATGATTATGGTGGATGGAGATGACCAAAAGTGATCAAGTGCTTCACATTTGGAGAAAAGAAGAAAGAGAAAAACAAAAATAGGCTCAAGGCAAAGGTATAAGTTATAGGGTTATTTTTGGTTTGGACTCAAGACACCATAGAGGGTGTGAGTTATTTATGATTGATAGCCGTACTATTAAGAGGGGAAATTCTTTGGGAATTGTGGTTGTCAAGTGCCACTAGGTGATGTTGATCATGCATATGCATTAGGACCTAGTGAGCTAACTAATTAATCCTTGCAAAATGCTTTGGAAAATGCTAACATACGTGCACAAGTGTTTGATACATCTTGGTGTTAGCACATGAGAGCAAGGGATAGAAATCGCGCTTGAAAGAAGAGAAAGAAGTGCGTCGGACAGAGCGTCAGACACGGTGGTCTCAACGTCCGACGGTTAACCCTAATGGCATAGTAAGGACAGAGAGCAGCGCGGGCGTCGGACGGTGATGTCGCCGCGTCCGACGATCGGCTCCCGCAGAGGCAGAGGCGCACACGCAGCGTCGGACAAAGAGGAAACAGGGGCATCGGACAAAACTGGAACACTATTCCTCCCTATCCGACGCCACCTGGTTTGAGCGAGCGCACGGTGGAGCGACACGTCCGACGGTCTGGCTGAGTGCGCGGCAATGGCTCGATTGAACTTGGACACATGGCGCAACACAGCTGGTCGAGGGAAGGCATCGGACATGGGACCGTTTTGTCCGACGCCCCAGTATTTCTTGTCCGACGGTCGGTTTCGGTGACGAATAACTATGTGAGCCCTTAGGGCTCTATATATTGACTTTGGCTGGCTCGAGCTCACACTCTTGGACATTTTTACATGTGATACATCCCTTTGAGCTAAGCAAACTCCCTCCCACTCATCTCTCTTGCTTGATTGTGAATCCAAAGTGAGATTGAGTGCATCCTAGTGCATTTGCTTAAGTGATAGCATCTAGTGACACTTGGGGATCGTTTTGCCGGTGGATTTCTTATTACCCTTGGTGATTACCGTCACCTAGCCGACTTGGAGGATTGAAGGAGGATTGGCAAGATTGGTGATTGTTCTTGGCCATCTCCATTGATTGTGAGGGGTTCTTGTGCCTTCCCCGACGGAGCGCCAAATGCAACTCTAGTGGATTGAGTGTGTCATTAAGTTACCTCACTTTGGGGTAGGTTCTTGTGGCGCCTATTGAGAGCCTAGGTGTGTGATACCTATTAGCCACCGAACCATCAAGTGTTGGTCGACACAACAGGACTAGCTTGCTGGCAAGCAAGTGAACCACGGGAGAAAAACATTGTGTCTCTTGTGATTGGCATTCTCCCGGTGATTGATTGTCTGTCATTTGTCTTCATATTGTGATTGGCTTCATCATCTTTACCACGTCGGTATAAAAGATCACTACCTCTCTTGTATTACATTTCTAGTTGTGCTAAGTCCTTTAGTGTAATTAGTTTTGAGGGTTAGCTTACTTTCTTGCAAAATAGTTTGGTTAGTGAGACTCTTTAGTTACTCTTTGAGAGCCCACTAACTTAATGATAGTGACTTAGCCATTGTGTCACATAGAAATAATAATTGACTAGAATTGTTCGATAGGTGACTTGCAACACTCTCACTAGGCTAGGCAAAATTATATTGCGCCATTTATTGTACTAATCAAATTAGTCTAGCGATTTTGTAGATTTTAAATTAGGCTATTCACCTCTTTTAGCCAATTAGAACCTTTCACCTAGGACCTTACCGGGTAGTCGGCCCAATAGGGAACCAATAGGATCCTGATCTGTCAACTAGCAACTCGATCACCTAATGCCACTCGATGCATCCACTCTAACACAACGCACTAGGAATCGCTCTATCAATCAATCAAACATATGAGAGTACAGGACCAAAGTTAAACACACACAAGGGCAACACATACCCAGGCTGCTCAACTCCTCAAATGGCCGGCCACCGTCTCCTTTTATAGCCCCCAAGGGCCAACCCTTGATCGACGACGGCTTGGACCTGCAGGTGCGGGCGGCCTGCCCATGGCCGGCACTGGCAGGGCGGGCAGCCAACCCCTGGGCGGCGCGGGCGGTCAGTGCTGCCACCGCCTTGCCGCCGGCGCCTTCTCCCTCACCGGCGGCCGTGGCTGCTCCTCCCCCACCTGCGCCCTGGCGGCAAGTCCACGACCAAGAGGCATGAGCGGCTCCTTTCTATCCGTCAGCTCCACCTTCGTCGAGACCGGATCCATCATCACCTTACCTTCGTCCTCTCGATCACACTGGAAGGCTGCGCCATCGGTAGATCTGGGAGCAGATGATGTCATTTGCAACTCATATATGCTTCTCCATACATGGCAAACAGGGAGCAAGAAAGCAGTGACTCGGATCTTTTTCCTCTCTCGAACAAGTTCCGATGGAATTTTGATGGATTTCCTATACTAGTTCCGATGGATTTTTTATTGATTTTTATTTGTACAAAATTTTGATGATTTTGTTTGTAGACGGTTATTGATTTTTGTATGTACAAAGTTCATAGATCTCTGTAAAAATATTGATCTATGAAAAACTTTAGTGAGGTGAATGAATTTTGTTACGTTGCGTGCATAATTGTGTGCGATATCATATGCATGTAAAAGCAAATTAAAATATTATCAGCTCGGTCGGGCTGTGAGAGAAAAATACTGTACCAGGTCTGATAAGCCGGGATTGTTCGATTATGTGACTGTTACCAATTCTTAAGGCTACAATAACAAAATAATTACTATGTACTTAATAGACGGAGTTTTGTACAGTTGAAAATCATACATTTACACATCAAAATGACGCCCAAAATACCAGCGACATTACTGGAAACGTAAGAGGGGCAAAATTGTCTTTTTCCCTGCTAGTTAACACCGTTAAGTGCCCAAACCAACAGAAGCGTCGATTAGGGAAGAAAATTTTCAGTTTTGTACAAATAGGGGAAGTTTTGAACTTTGGGTGCTAAATAAGGAGCATGTTTTTTTTGTTAAATAGGGAATTTTCTCTTATAAATACGGGTGGCGGCTTTGGATCCTTCATCCGAACACGCATAATAGTATCAACATTTATATAATCCTTTATTCCTTTTTTGAGTAGGGGACCAATTCTTTCAACACTAATCTAACTTGGATTGTCTGAAAGAATTTATCATGCCGATGCTTCCTTCTTTGAGTAGGGGACCAATGCCTACTTTAGTTATGCAATAATTCCTCATTAGTAAACTGAGCTTGATCAAGTACTTTGAGATACTTTACTACTACCTGAAACATGATTCTAATTGTTCTAATATAGCACATCTCCATTTTCTCAGAACTAACGTATTCTTTAGTTATTGCTTCTGCTGGGTTTTAACTTTAGCCTACCCCAACTTGTTTGGGACTTAAAGGCTTTGTTGTTGTTGTTGTTGTAACATATTCTTTTTCACAGGTAAAAGCGTAGCAAGAACTGTGCTTTCAATAGTTGTATAGACATGGGAGATATGAAGCATAACCAAGGTTTGAACGCTGATATTGACCCCATAACCCCCAAATAAAGAAAGAAGATTCAAAGATTAGTAAATGATCTTAAGCAGAAAAAAGGTATCATTTGTGAATGATTAACACCAGAAAGAAAACTGAGGAATAAACAATGTGAAACCGTGTATATACAATATCTGAGCACCTTCTGTTTCATAGTCAAACACCAGAACTTTCAGTGTTAGTTTCGGATGCTACCTAAAGCTAGGACTAGAGGCGTACTTCTCCAAACCATGAACTGTCAATTGGTTTGCATCAATGATGAGGTTGAAGCAAATCATGCATGGTGGTTGTTCAGATAAGTAGAGTAGAGTTGGTGCTGATTGCGAACATCTGGGCCCTTTTCTCATCATTAGCAGAGTGGGGGAATCTTTCATCAGTTGGATCGCACTTGCATTCTTCAGAAGTTAGTCAGGTATTTGACGTGACATGGAAAGATCAACTTATTTTTCAAAAAAAAAGTACAATCGCTGTGTATATAATTCAGGGAACCTTTTAAGCAGTTTCACACAACTGTCTGTTAGCTAATTGTTTTATTTGTTTAGGAAATACGTCTGAACTCGGCACAATGATATTGATGTCACTAAGTTTCCATGTTCTTCCATATAGGCACATTCCAAACTAATGAAGTATGATGTCAGTGCTGAAAGCAGCTGAGGGCTTTAGAATGTTACAGTTTAAACAGGTTTAACCAGACAGTACAATCAGAATACCCTGACCAGCTGCTGTCACATGTGCTCATACCCTTTGCTTTAGTTTATGTCAAGAACGACAACATAAAGAAAACCTGCCCTCAGACTGATTAGTACATTCAAACTAACCCGGCGAACACGCTAAGCCATGCTTAGACACTGATCCAACCTCCTATATATTGTCAGTAGCACCCAGCAGAGGGAGCAGAAAGCAGAGGCAGAGATAGGCAGCTACATCGACTGACAATGGGGGAGCAAGGCAGGTCAAGCAGCAACAAGATCAGAGACATTGTGAGGCTGCAACAACTTCTGAAGAAGTGGAAGCGGCTTGCACTCTCACCAAAAGCCGGCAAGAGCAGCAGCAACCATGGTGTTCCAAAGGGTTTCTTTGCAGTGTGCGTCGGCATGGAGATGAAGAGGTTTGTGATCCCCACGGAGTACCTAGGCCACTGGGCATTTGAGGAGCTCCTGAAGGAGGCAGAGGAGGAATTCGGGTTCCAGCATGAGGGGGCTCTGAGGATCCCCTGTGATGTGAAGGTGTTTGAGGGCATCCTGAGGCTGGTGGGCAGGAAGGAGGAGGCGGTGTGCTACTGTTATTCACAGCCTGGGATCTTATGCAGATGATGAGTTCTTTCTCAACATCTCCTATTTTTTTTTCCATTCTTGGTTCTTGGTGTTCCATGGAGAAGAGAGGAGGAAGAGTCCACAAATTGACAGGATTTGCAAATTGATACCGGAGGATGAAATGTGGGATTCACATTCTTTTTGTGTAAGATTTTAAAATGAAGGATTTGCTCCAAGCAGATTGCGTAAATGTCTCCTTTTCTTAAGAATTCATTTCCACCTTGTTCTTTGTACTTCAACTTTAACTTTCTTTTTGTAATTGTTCAGAAGTTGAACAATGTTCTTACACACATAATTGATGCATCCTCCTCGCTCACCTCTTTGCAATGATGAGGTGGCAACTATCATCAGTCATTCTGTCCTTAGCTTCTTCGTTCAATATCCAATTTAGTTCAGTTTTGAAAGATAGAAAAGTTCAGTCCTGACTACCAAGAATCCTATAGGGAAGTCAATGCTTTAACTTAAGAGAGCTGTGCCTTAGAATAATATAACTTAATATACCTCTGCCTCTTGCTGCACACAGGTTGCTAAAAAATGATGCTACAGGTCTACAGCACATTCTTTACTCTTAGACTATGTTACTGAGACTCATTAAAGAGAGTTCCAGATCAAAAGAAATACATGCCGTACAATTACACATGGCATGAGCACTAGATCACAAAAAGCATGAAATCTTCTTCACATGTATTCCGACAGATATGCACTTCTCGAGACCAAGTAATCCCCGCGGATAAAAGATATTTGCAATCTTTTTTCAGTTCTGCCAGCTCAAAGAATATTATATCTTGTTGCAACTGGAAGAACAGCAGATCTCTGCCATCCTGTTTTCTGAACAAATCCGGACAGCACTTGGACAGATGACAAATGTAGGCTATCTTGGTTCTAGAGCCTGAACTGAAGACAAAGCTGAAGTGCCATTTGTGGAGAATATCAGTTATGTTTTCTTTCAAGGGAAGATGAATTTGAATGAAATCACTCACACTCAACTCAGGATCATCCGGCGACATGCTTGCATGCTCCGTTCCAGAACCATCGCTTAAGATGATCCACAGACAGTGTCACTGAAAGTGGGCCATGATGGCAAATTGTGTGCCGCTCATATATCACAATTCATAAGCATGACAAGTTTTTCAAATGCCATTAACTATTGTTGTTGATAATATGCAACAACAATAGTTACATTTTTCAAAATGTTGATAAATGTCATTAACTACTGTTGTTGAAAATATCCACAAACAGTGTCACTGAAACTGGGTTTGATGCTCAAGAATATGCAACAACACACAGAAAAAATGCCTTAAATCATGACTGGAAATCTTCATATTAACCACAGGAAAACAAAGAATGAATTATTCCTTTAATTGTTTCATGCCACCATTTTCAGAGCTCTTACAAAACAAACACTACTCCACAGATCGATTATCTACTGCTCCAAAGCTAATGCCTAATGATTTGACTGACTTGATCTAATCAAGTCAGTTTCAGCTGCAAAGAAAGAATCCTTGCATTGCACATCTTCATGGCCTGCAAATTCTGCATGACTGCATGCATGGCTGCCTGGCTTGCTACCAAGACCTGGCCTTGGGCAATTTGGGCTCGGCCGCCGCGGTGGCTCTGCCGGTGCCGGACCGGGGGCGCCGGCGCGCCACGGCGGACTCGAGCTCGAGCGCGGCGACGGTGGCCTCGAAGTCCTCCTCGCGGCACGGGATGCGGATGCCGGCGGCCTGCGCGAAGCCGAACTCCTCGGCGGCGCGCTCCATGAGGTCCCGGAACGCCGGCTGGCGGAGGTAGGTCGTGGGCACGACGAACCACGTACACGGCGAAGTAGCCCCTGGGCACCGCCGGCAGCTCGGCCTCGTCGAGCAGCGCGGCGCCCAGGCTGTCGTCCCCGCCGCCGCGGAGACCCCGCTCCGCCGCCTCCTGCTTCCTCTTCCTCCCCTGCAGCCTCACCGGCTCCCGGAAGTAGCCTTTGATCGCCATCATCGCCGACGCCGACGCCGACGCCGATCCAAGAACGAGACCGCCTGCTCTGCTCCTGATCTTGTCGTTCAGCTGCGCTAGTTGCTGTCTAGCTCCGAGCAGAGATCGATCAGATGGGAAATGGTGACGTGATCGATTCAGCGCCATGCCACACCTGCCACCTGGTGGATGATGATCAAAACGGAGAGGAGAGGAGAGGAGAGTGAGGGATGAAAGCATGTGTGAGCAGAGCCTTGGACTTGGAGTGTTGTTCTCAGCCTTGGACTTCACCGCCTTCTTGTGTGGACGGAGTTTGTGCTTTTTTCGAGGATGTGCAGGGATTATTAGCTGTATCCTTGCACTAAACAATGCTACTAGTAGTGTGCAGGAGTAATAATCTACAATGTGCAAAGTTTGCAATGCTGTATACTATACAGAAGTGTAGACTACTTCTACCTCAATTAACCTGGATAGTGTGAGCTGGGTGGGACACATGTACTTTTGTATGTACTGATGCACAATGATTTTGCATTTGGATGCACTTTTGTATGTGTTAAGTTTTTTTGGTAAATTTTCCATGTCACATACTCCCCCCTGTGCAACGTTGAGATAACGAAATGGAGATGCTTTTTTTATCTTGTTTTTTTACTTCTAAAACACAAACTAAGGCCCATTTTGTGTTTTTGTTATTATAACCTTCAGCTGAAACAAAACAGATCCTATATTATAATAATTCAAGGGATCCATGTCTTTTATTTTCTTCGTCTAATAAAAATCAAGACAAAGCTTATGTTGTCCCTTAAGAAATAATTTGCGGTAAGTATTTGCTTCATTCATTCGTGACATTACTGGTTATTCTTCACTCCTCATATACCACAAAGAAAGCTCACAAATATGAATTACTATGTCTACAACACATGGGACCGTCACCGACTATGGCATATCCGAGATTTAAGATTTTTTTTGGGTGGCATATGAGGAATTATTCCTTGCAATAATATAATTTTCCGTTTCTCTATCTTGCATACAATTGAAATAATGTAACTATGTAAGCTAAAATAAAAATGATCTAAGTATGGAGCTAGATTGATCACGCCGTGTATTTATGATATCAAATCAATATCATCGGATTGACCACGCCATGTATTTTTTTTATAGTAAACCTATTTAGGGATACAAATGTTAATAATACTATTTCTATAAATATAGCTAAATTTAAGATTGGCTGACTCCTTAAAGTACAAGGTGTGGTATGAAGGGAGTATATCATATAAAAGCCCCCTAAAACAAACCAGTCAGCTAGATAAATAAACAGGAGTGCAAGTTAAAAGAGTCTTCACTCGAGTATTATTGCATTACTATATTATTGACTAGGACGCATAAAAGCTATCGAACATAGTAGGACTTGTAGCAACGTAACGTCGATGACAGGGTGGCGGGGAAGCATAGGATGAGCGAGGAAGGGCATTGTTTAGGTTTTCTGGGATACGGTACGGCCGCAAGGATCGCGTATAGTACGGATGGCTCTAGGAATTACGTGGCCGGCCACCTTCCGGCATGTTTGATCCCTTGCATTCCAGCTCAGACTTGTAAGTAACGATGGATCGCTGATGCGACCTTCTCAGGGTTGATGAGCACGACGTGCCGTCCATGCATGTCCTTTAGTTCTTGATGTCACCAATGGAGTGGATACCTGCAGCATTTATCTTATATATAATTCCATTGCCTTTGCTTTGGAATTCTTCAACTAAACTCTTCTCTATTAATATATATATATATATATATATATATATATATATATATATATATATATATATATATATATATATATATATATATATATATATATATATATATATATATATATATATATATATATATATATGGTGAGCAAAACTCTTGCCGGCTTCTTAAAAAATCCTTCAATTAAACGAGTTTTGGATTGACCCGAGAATGAAATCAACGCTTGCATTGTCAAAGATCACATGGAAATGCTCTTGTTTAGCTCGTAAGCTCAAGGCAGCTCCTCTCTGTGCAGGGCTGGTTTCGTTGAGCCCGTTGCCCGCGAGGAGGAGATGTTGTAGCTTGGTGAGGCAGTCCACGGAGTCCGGGAGCGCAACGATGGAGTTGTAGCTGACGCCCAACTTCTGGAGCGAGACGAGGAGGCTGATGCAGTAGGGCAGCTTCCGCAGGTACTGAAAGTTCTGGCGCACATTCAGTGTCTCCATGTCGCCGAGGTTCTCTTGTTAATACCACTATTATCTCTAGGTCTAGGATCTAGTGGGGACACTTCTTTTTTTTCGGGATGAACAAGTAGATCCGAGAGAGAGAGAGATGATTTACCGATCATCCGAGGGATTGGAAAAGGAGCTGGCGGCCATCACAGGTTCAGCGGTGAAGTCTGCGCACGAGCAGCGACGGTCAGAGTGTTGGCGCAGTGTAGTGGTGGCGGCGGTGCTTCTCGTCACTGGCTACGCCCCTCTTTAGATCAGAGTAGGATTTCTAGGTGGGGCGTACGGCTCAGGCGAACCTCGTACCGAGAGCCGCCGGCCCCCGCCTCTATTTAATGCGCAGTGTGACGGGGGCCCGCCAGCCATAGATGGACTGGGCGCCTCCGATCAGGGCGCGAGGTCAAGGCCCAAGTGGCCGTTGGGCCACTATGGTTGGGAGATCAAACCAACATTCTCCCCCTTAATCTCAACACATACTTTAACTTTAAACTTTGACTTTAATCCCTTTCACTTTTATTTGTTCCATTACAGATTAGTGCATAGAGCATGCTTCATTGTCACGGTCAATCGCCGATAGATTTAACAACTACAATACACGTCTCTGTTCTGAAACAGATTCTTTAACTTTGGGCCCTTTATTGTCCGGAAATCATAGGCTATACCATAAACCCATGTCGACCGTGCGTTCTCTAAACACACTGGGTGGTAAGCCTTTTGTACGCGGATCCGCAAGCACTTGCTTGTTACTTTTATGTTCAATACTTTTAGTATGATTCCGGACTTTCTCCTTCACAACGTATAACTTTAACGTCAATGTGTTTGGCAGCACACTTGACCCGTTGTTATAGGAGCGAACTACTTAAATGGTTATTGCTGTTGTATACCATTATCAATTCTGGGTGTAAGTTCTTTTAACCATTTCACCTGTCCTTAAGCCTCATAACAAGCTTTACTATGGGTATACAACTATGATGACACCACAACTGTTTCTTTGGAGTTTTTCCACAATAAAACTCCAACTGCGAGTGTTAGCTACTATGTGGGTTTCACTAAACATCACGCCAAAATTTAACATTTGTACCCACAACTATATGAGAGTACTTATTCTTTCTTACTCACCATGAGGCCTATAAATCTTTGCACAATTGCAAAACATTCTCAACTCCATTCTATTGATCTATATCTGGACTGAACTTCTGCCAAAACATCCCGGATACATGAACTATGTCAGGGTAAGTTCTTACTTATAAGCACTTATTAAGCTTTCAACAGCTGAAGCATATATGACGTCCTTTCGATCGATCTCACATTCGTTCTTGGAACACTGAAAGTTTCGAAAACTATTATTCTGGACTATAGGAACAGGCGTAGGTATATTCATATATATACTTTATTTCTTTAGAATCTTCTCTAAGTATACACTTGAGATAGTTCTAATACCCCTTTTTCCTTTTGTCTCGGTAAGTTTCAATTTCTGGAACGAATGACGCTTTACCAAGACCATTCTCATTGAAACTTGAGGACAAGAACTGTTTCTTCTCCAACAGTAGATTAACACCACTACTAGCGAGCAAGGTGCTACCCACATGCAGGATTAGTAAAATGAATTTCTCATGTTTAAAACTTTGCATAAATGCAATTGTCCTCTACATTCTCTTTAAAACCCAAACTTTCTTATTGTACTGTCAAACTTCAAGTACCACTGTCTTGAAGCTTGCTTTAATCCATAAATGGATTTCTTCAGGCAATATCCCTTACATTATTTTCCTTCCACGACAAAACCTTTTGAGTTATGCCATGTAAACTTTTCCATACAAATCCCCATTGAGGAAAGTGTCTATATATCTTTCTGATGTAACTATAAATCGTAATGTGCCACTAACACCATTGTGATTCTAAAAGAATCCTTGCAAGCTTATTATAATCTATTACTTCTCTTTGTGCAAATTATTTCACCACAAGTGGCACTTTATAGCTTTCCATATTTCCTTTGGAGTCACATCTGTCTTGTAGACCCATTACAGCCTACTGTGTTGGCTCCATTGGAAATTTCTTCTAAGTCCTAAACATCGTTGGTATTTATCGATTTTATTTCATCTTCCTTTGCTTCTTGCCATTTAGACGAGTGAACGGCTCTCATGACTTTTTCAAATGAGGTGGAATTATCCTCTATTTGAATTTCTTTCTTAACATTGACTTCTTAGTCACCAGAATTATTTGATTTTCTTATTCTTTGAGGGCTTCTGGGGCCTCGTGGCACTTCTTTCATATGGGGCTATTGTTACTCTTCATTGCCAAAAGGCAATTGTTCTATAGCATTCTGTATCATAAGATCCATATTTACTTATTCATCTTTTTTAAGAGTTAACATCAGGTGTTGTATATGTCATACAACATTAACATGTATTAAGCAATTTGTTGCTCTAAAACACTGTAGTGGATATGTAATCCCACTTCTATTCAAGCTTTAGGTATCTACATACCATACTCCCCCAGATTACTCCATCTTCTTTAAAGATGATGTATCTTCTAATTTCTTATTTGGGTTTAATCTGCTAAAAACTCATATGGCGCGTTTAGCACCGCCTTGATAACTCTGAACTCGTCAAGTATAAATACTAGCCGACTATGCTATCTTCCTATCGGAACTGTAAAAGGTCTAGAAATTTAGCAATTTCTTTACTTTAGGGGACACTATGCAAAAAGAAGATTCCCCATCACATCAAACTTACGGTACATGCATGGAGTACTAAATGTTGATGAAATCAAAAACTAATTGCACAATTTGGTTGTACTTTGCGAGACGAATGTTTTGAGCCTAGTTAGTCAACGATTGAACAATTATTACCGAATACAAACGAAATGCTACAGTGCGCTACATTAGTCTACAGTGATTTCAGCGGCGCCAATTCCGCTGAACTAAACATGGCCTAGATTAGCATCTCCTAGTGACCTCCAACCAGGTGTACAGGGCGTAGTACACCTAGTGTCAGGTGGCGTTTTTTATTCACCCTTAGGCTATCTCCAACAATAACACCTAAAATACAAGACATATTCGTCCTTTAGATAGCGCTACAGGCAGAAGGTTCAATATCTATTCGTCATCTTCACCGATAACAAGACCCAAAAAAGAATCCTTTCTGTAAATGGGTTTTCAGGAGAGAGGATGCTCATATTTGGGTTGTGCCTTTTAGGTAATCTAAAATAGGTCTCCCGCATAGGTACTACGTTGGAGACTGATTTTAGGTCTCTTGCTACCTATTTTAAATTTAGGTACCTATATAAGTTTCTTGTAGGAGACAATCTTACTAATTCCTACCCCTCCGTTTCAAATTATTTGACAGGTTGTTATTTTTTCTAGATATATTGTTTAATATATATCTAGACACAATATATATCTACGAGAAAAAAGACAAAATATATTATAATCTGAATTGAAGAGAGTAGTTGCTAGCTATTAGCAACACGAGTAGGTACGGAAATATGTCGATGCGCTCATTTTCTTCTTGTACCCCATATTCGGCCTGTTCGGTTGGCTGGTTTGTATCGTTGCTGGTTCGTGAAGAAGTACTGTTGATTGGTTTGTGTGAGAGAAAAATACTATTTCGGCTGAAAATTTACGATCATTTACGATAAGCCACAGCCAAATAAACATGCGTTGCTTTCTCACGGTACTAAACAAAGTTGCTCCCTGCAAAGGCCGCTCAGTTTGACTTTAGAATTCTATAGTTTTCATTAGAAAGGCAAAGTTGACATTTCCCGAATACGTATGTGTTTGATAAAAAAACAGAAAAAATAACCTTCCGCCAAATAAATTCTATGATAAATAACTAAATTGAGCCATCTTTAGATGACGTTTTTAAGGAATCACAATTTTAATGTTTTCAATTAAAATAACTAAATTTTAAAGCATGTTTGCTTGTTCATCGTGGATTATAAATTAAAATAATATTTTTCTCTCATATTAAATTAGTCAGCAGTAAATAATCCACGATCGTTTACGGCCACCCCGGCCGATCAGGCAGCAAAGTCAGATCAGACCAATCAAAGTTGTCAATTTGTGTACGGTGAAACGTCATTACTGCACTACTCCGTGATTTTGCCACCGAGCCATCCCTCAAAACAGGGAGGCAAATCCGACCCCACCTGCAAGCGACCAAGGGCTCAAGGGCCAAGGCCACCGCGTTTTTCTGGAACCATCTTCCTTCCAGCGCAAACCAACCAACCAACCGAGCAAGCTTTACCAAACAAGCAGAAGCAGAACCCCCCGCACGGAGGCACCGAACACACAACACAAGCGGAGCGCGTGCGAACTCGGAAGCGCGAAAACCCTCCCCGCCCAAGGAGTATCCCCTGCCGCGGCGCGCGAAGGAATCAAACCCCCCGACCGGCCGCCCTCGCGAGCCGCGGCGGGGACAGCGGAAGCAGCAGCACTCCGGAGCAGCCAGCACTCGCTCGACCGGAGCGGGGTTCTGTGGGAATCTCCGAATCTGCGTAGTTCGTGGCCGGATTTGGCGGCGCGGGGGTGGGGCCTTCTCGTTTCGGGCGAGAAGATGGTGGGGTTCGCGGGGAAGAGGAAGGAACTGGAGCAGGTGGTGGATGGCCTCTCCGACTTCTCCCTCTCCGGCCCCGCTGCCAAGAGCCGCAGATTGGTGAGTTGGTGAGCTGTTTGGGCTTTTTTTTAGGCTTCTATTAATTTGGGGCTCCTATCTGGTTTGCTGGCGCAATATTTTGCCCTAATCTTGTGCTGCTACTATGCCTGCGAATTCATCCTTTTTATTAGTGATGATTGGTGGACGCCTGACTAGGGTGGTTGATTATTGGGATTTGGGAGCGGTTACATGTTAGCAAATACAGTAAAATTCTTTTTTTAAGAAAAAAAAGGAAGATATTGCTTCAAGTATTATCTTGCACTTGATATTTATCTATACTTGCTGTCATGTCCATGACCTGCCTTTATAAGTGGCTATTTGATTAAAGCGTCTTCACGCAATTCAGCATAATAGATTCAATAGATGTTTTGTCAGATCTGTGTCCAGTTTCTGTACCGTTTTCCTATTTCTGATTAACTACCATTAGTTTACTCAGCAGTATCTGCTCTGTCAGGAGCTTCCTACTGAATAAGTTAATGAAAACGTCTTTCTGCAAAGAGCGTATGCAATCAGCAAATCAGTAGCCCTTTCGTAGGTCAGCCTAGTTTATGAGAATGCGTGTTTTGTTTACATGCTGTTATTGCCAGATTTTGTTGTTGTTGCTTCCATTGGAGTTCTTCTTTGGTGTAGAAATGTAGCGAGGTTTATCCGATGATGATATGCAGGGTGTTCTTATGGCATCATCTCCATATGTTTCTATGCATTTGCTGTGACAGCCCTGTTGTCTAGCAAAGTAGCACCCTGCTTTCTGTTTGATCACTTCAAGTGAAGAAGGAAAAACCATATACATGTCACAATTTTCCACTGCATATAGATAAGCAAGGTTCATCATGCATGGTGCACTGCATTTCTTGTTGTGCATATAGTAAGCATTCTGTCATTTTGTTGTTTTACTTTCCTTGGAAGTCTTTATTCAGAATACTTATTGCATCTGTAATGCCTCTCTGAACGAAATGTTGCTTATTATTTATAGGACCCCGGCCTCCCACCAATTATGGAAGAAGAACCACCTGCTCCTTCCATGTCATTCCAGATGCTGGGAGAGAAAATCAATAGTGGTGTTGACATACCCAGTGTGGAAGACATGATGGAAGGTCTAACAACACATCATGTGCCTAGTGAGGACTTGGCACTTGTTTTATACAAACCAGTAGATAACCCCGTACCATTTGGTCCTGGCATCTCAAGCTCTTCATTCATAGTGAGTTCAGACTTGATACGTGGTCTAAAGAGTAAGTACATCGTGACCAACCTTCTTTAGTCGTCATTTATATTTAAATTCACTATTCCTATGAAACTTTACTATTTTGATCCTGCATTTCGTTAGATTTCTAAGTGTCTACTGTATATCCAGAACTTGTATGGGTACAGGTATTTGTCATTACCTAAGTATCTGGGTGTCCCTTTGTGCAAATATAAACTAACCTATTTAGATTTTTTTGTTAACTTCTATATCTAACATGTCCAAACCTATCTCTTGATAGTTTAAGCAAGTTATATGCGAAGCAAAGATTCTACTATTTAGTTGTGACATGCAGCTAGTTGGTGAATATAACAGGAAGCATAAATGCCTGTTGGCCTAGGGGCATGAGGTGATACGTTTTAGCCATGACATCACCTACTTACATTGCGATTTGCGTGGGTGATAGCTTGGTGTGTCCTTTGTTTAGTGCTGTAGTTGTGCTGCATTCTTTGCTGTGCAGAATATGACCCATGTCATGATTTTTAACATGATTTACTTGCCAACGATTATCTTGTTCCTTTTATTTTCTTTGGTTCTGCTATCTTTTTATTGAGCTTTTTCATTGGCTTCTATTTTTCCAATTATATGTGTTATGGATTTTAACAACTCATGAGTTTCTTCGCTGTTTTCACTTTTCAGACCATGCTTTCAATCAAGCGAACTATCATGAGATGGACAGTGAATCCCCTGAGCGTAGGAACAGCTTGGCTTTAGTTCCATGGACACCACCACAAGTGTCTATAAGATCTGACTGGGTTGCTGCTGAGCCAGAGAGCTCACAGATTTTTGAAGTACCTATGGAGGCTGATGAGACTGAAGTAACTTCTATGGATGTCGAGGAAACACCCGAAGCAATTTCCGGGGGTTTCAATGGCGAGAACCTTGGCCAGTGGCAACATTGTATGACCCCATCGTCGCTACCAAATCCATCAGCCCATGTTATGTGGTCAAGGTGACAACCGGGAGGCCCTGTGTACTGACTACTGAGTCACACCGAGGATGAAGAAATCCTTTAATAGGCCTCCCCTAGCTGTGTAGAAGTAGCTGGCTGTTTAGTTGAAAACAAAAAAGTGATTATGCTTAGCATGATACCTCCTGGTGTAGTGCTGATCTTCCTCAGTAATATCAGTGTCAGTAGACTCCATGTTACAAGAGAACCTGGTTAGATTGACATCCAATTAGTTGATGTAACTTGTTGGATCTATAACATCTTAACGCCCTAGTTTCAAACTCCTTTGCATTATTATTATTGTATTACCATGGCTGGTTTATTGATACCATAACTGTTTAATTGCCATGAATTTTATCATATATTTATAAAAATCAACAATATATCCTCCTTTTTAGTAACATATTTTAATGGTCATATATGTATATGCACTACCAGAATCAGGAATTGCCTTGGCGGCCTAAAACCGTCAAGGAATATAGGTTTACCGTCAAGGTAATTGTTCTTGGCGGCAGACCGTCAAGCAAAGCCCGCCAAGCCTAAAGAGCCAAGGAAAAACGATATCCTTGACAGCTGACTGTCAAGAATTGTTTCCTTGGCTGTTTGGCTGCCAAGGTAAATAGGACGCTGATAAAACTTTCAATGCGCCAAGGAAAGGGTACATCTGTTAAGGAAATTTATTTGCTTGGCTGTCGTCGACTGCCAAGTAAATTCTTTTCGTTGGCTGCCTTCGACTGCCAAGTAAACTCTTTTCCTTGGCTACCTTCGACAGCCAAGAAAAATTCTTTGCTTGGCTACCATCGACAGCCAAGAAAATTTCTTTACTTGACGGCTTTGGACAGCCAAGAAAATACCTTTCCTTGGCGGCTTACAACAGCTAAGTAAATTTCTTTCCTGGGTAGCAGCATCCGCCAATTTAAACTATTTGCTTGGCCGTCCAAAACAACCAAGTTAATACATTTCCTTGGCAGCCTTCAGCAGCCAAGGAAAACATAATACATTGGCTAAGACAATTCTAATTTCATTGACAGCTTACTCTGCCAAGTTAATACAAACAAACTCAATATTTTGGTAGCCACAAATCTGATAGCAACAACAATATAAATCATATGTCCAACATCCACTTGCTCAGTACCAGTACGTACTGTCCACTTTATATAGGGCAAACATGTCAGCAGCACATGCATCCCGCCTACATATAATCTAGATGGCAGTATCTTTTCTTGCCTACATGTCATCATCACACATTCATAAAAAACTTTGCAAAAGCTCAGCCACACATCATATGTTAGCTGTACCAAAATAGACTAAAAGAAGTCAGCATGACACGGCAGATACTAGGAGTTGCTGGCATTAGCTGGTCCTATGCCAAATCAATTTGCTTCCTATAGGTCACTGTCGACAATGCAACTGTCGTCAACGATCGCCTTCGAAGGCTTCCTCATCAGCCTCCCTTTCTTGGTCAGAATCGCCATCACCATTTCCTTCGGAGTCGGAATCATCACCATCTTCACCATCACCATCTTCATCGTCTTCATGGAAGTTGTTTCCATCATCATCTCTTTCATCAATGTTCTCACCGTTGCGCCTGTCATCAACTGAGTGGGAGCAACCATGTGGGAAAGCAACAGTCTGCAAAATCAGTAAAATCTCCATGATGATGTGCAAACCATGTGCACCTACATAGTTACTACCTAGCCAAGAAAGCAAAGGGGCAGCAACAGAAGGATTGCATAGTCCATAATATGAAGAACAGAATGATTACTTTTTGTCAACTCAACCTAGCAGTACTATGAGCTGTTAAGAAATATGAAGATGGACCTAGCAGAGCATAGTTTTACTTGATCTTTGAATACAGTACTTGATGCTTAAAGAGCTGACCAAATGAATTAAAGGGTATTTGCCAAGCAAAACTGAGGGGAATCAGACAAGTCAAACTAATCTTGGCTATCTTACCATGAACTTAAATCTAAGGTTGCCATTACTAATCAGCAAGAAGCCACATTTTCACTGCTGCAACTCAAATTGGCATTCTGGTAGCAAACAATATTAATTCTCTAGATGAAATGCCCTCCGGACACAAAACATTAATTGTACAAGCATTTAGTAAAATTTATAACCTGTTGACGATGCGCATCAATACTTTCTAGACGCCGCAATAGCTCTGCAGGTGGTTCTCTTCCAAAATCAGAATACATTGTCTGTAATTAAAAAGGCACATGAGTATTACATTCAGATGCATGCATAGGAGCATTACCCAAATCAGAACATGTTATTTGCTAGAAGCAATGAAAAAATATTACCATGATCAATGCATGATTAACACTATTTTCTTCAAAGAGTATCCCATTAGTCTCTTTCAACTGCTCATTTTCTTTGAGCACCCTATCATAATCAGTAGGATTGATTGGTTTAAAACCTACTGATTTACTATGTATTAGAACAATTGTCTTGTCCACAGCACCATCGCCTATTGGAACGCGCCCATGCTTCATCCCGTTTCCTACAATGTGCAGCGCCTTTTCATCCAATTCTTGTGAATTCTCATCTGAAACTAGTTGTCTGTAGTCATCCTAAAATAAGCAAAAAATCATGACATGAAAAATAAGCAGATTTTGAATTTATGTTGTAGGAATGAGTATATACTCTAACAATGCCCATGTGCACATAATCAAATAAGCATTATATGATCGAACTACTACATTTGTAAGATATTTTCTAAGAATTAAATTAATTAGTTGCTACTGACAAGGACATTTACATTGGAGATAATCAAGTAAATAATGCAAAGTATACCAAGCGTTTTTGCGCTTTCTGGCTGGGGATGGGACTAGCCCTTCCAGTGCTGTCTACAGTTTTGAATCCCGTTTTCATTACAACGTATGTATTTAAAGTGCCACTCTTCTTGGGACCGAAAGTATGTTTCTATAAGAACAGAAACATCAAATTATGCAAGGGAAAAAGTTTGTAGAGGCCAATGGTTTAATTAGGCAAGACACAGGGAATTCTTATACCAGGAGTTGTTGTGTCTCCGAAAAATTCCTTGAACCTCCTCTATTTTGAGCATTATCTTCAGAACTCATGGAACAATCTTGGGCTATCTTTCTCTTTCTCTTGTACTCATCACCAGTCCAGTACTTGCAGAACCATGCCCAAGCTGATTTACTGCACCATTCCAACCGACAAGTCAGGTATTGTTCTTCCGTAAGTTCAATGGTGTGTGCTCGTGTATCATCACATGTCTCATCCCTTAGGTGAAAGTACATCTTGACAGCCTCCAGACGGAGTTGATACACCATATTGCTTACTCTTCTCACTAGATATGCTTCTAAAATTTTGTCAGCAGTAACCCTATGTCGCAGATGAACTGTAAACAACTTCTGCATATGTAGGACAAGGCCAAGTAAGACAGTCAGATAGGTATACATGTGAGAAAAATATCAGAATCCATAAAATTAGAAGTTAGATAGATTACTAACCCAGAACTCCTGCTTTACTCTGCTGGCATAACAAATTCCATCTCTATTCTTTTTCCAATAATAATCATTCCATGACATTGCTGGGTGTTGTTTAACAACATTGCCCTGCTCATCATATACCTTGATAATGCCTGGGTACTCCCGTTTCAGAATAGCTCCCACTTGTGAGGGATACTTGAGGCCTTTAGGGTTATAGCAACATATTTGAACTGAATGTTACAAAGAAATTCGTATGTTAATTGTAACACCCTAGGTGTTTGGCTTCTACTAATTGCATTTCATTTCATAAACATGTGCATCATCTATCTCATCATGCCTTTGTTACTGAAACATGCATATGCAACATTTTCCAATTGTGTATGTTTCATACTTGAGTGTTGTGAATAGTAATGGTGTAACATGTGAATGCAACCTGCGTTTCTCATACCTGGAAACATGGCAACATGGTAGTAATGTGACAAGTATAGAATAACAACAAAGTCATGCAACATGTGAAACATTGCATTGCAACATATGAGTGAATTGCTTGTTTTAGTTGCTTTATCACATGTGATCATTAAA